ACAACCAGTCTCTCTGATAAGGACCTCATTTCTAAAGTATATAGAGAAATAAGTCAAATTTATAAGAATGCAAGTCTTTCCCCAATCAATAAATGGTCAAAGGATATGAACAAGCAGTTCTCAGATGAAATTAAAGCCATCTATAGTCATATGAAAAAATGCTCTAAATCATTATTGATTAGAGAAATGTAAATCAAAAACAACTCTGAAGTACCACATCACAACAACAGATCGGCTAACATGACAAAACAGGAAAATGATAAAAGTTAGAGAAGATGTTGGAAAAATGGGAACACTAATGCATTGTTGGAGTTGTGAAATGATCCAACCATTTTGAAGAGCAATTTGGAACTTTGTCCAAAGGGCTATAAAAATGTGCATACCCTTTGACCCAGAAATGGTACTTCTAGGGCTATATCCCAAAGAGATCATACAAATGGGAAAAGGACCCACATGTACAACAATATTTATAGCAGCTTTTTTGTGTTGGCAAAGAATTGGAAATTGAGGGGATGCCCATCAATTGGGCAATGGCTGAAAAAGTTGTGGTATGTGAATGTAATGCAATACTGTTGTGCTATAAAAAATGATGAGCAGGTAGATTTCAGAAAAACCTGGAAAGACTTGTATGGACTGATGCTGAGTGAAGTGAGCAGAATGAGAACATTGTACACAGTAATAGTCACGTTGTGTGATGACTAATGTTGATAGATTTAGCCCTTCTTAGAATGCAAGGATCTAAGACATCTCCAAAGGTCTCATGATGGAAAGTGCTATCCACATCCAAAGATAGAACTATGGAGTTTGAAGGTGGATAGAAGCATACTATTTGCTATTTTTTTTCTTCTGTTGTGTTTTGTTTCCTCTTTCTGGTGCTGCCTCCTATTGGTTCTAGTTCTTCCTTACAACATCACTAACACGAAAATATGTTTAATAGGAATATATATGTATAGCCTATATATGATTGTGCACTGTCTTGGGGAGAGAGGCGGGCAGGAAGGGGGGAAAATTTAAAACTCAAAAGCTTATGGAAATGATTGCTGATAAATCAAAATAAATTAAATTAAAAAAGGAAAAAAAAACTATAGAATTAATGTATTTGCAAAGAAGGTAGTTGTGTAGATATGTTTTAGGGGTGACAAGTTATACTTTTATGATGATCTTTGTAATAAGAAAACCCTATTTATTTAGATCCCTTTTGTATCCATGTATTTCTCACTATTTGTCAATTATCCAGTTATCACCTATCTGTAAATTATCCAGTTATCACCTATCTATCATCTGTCTGTCTGTCTGTCTTTTCTTTCCTATAGAATGTATGCCTCCTAAGGGCAGGAAAAGTTTGATTTGAGCCCCATCATCTGACAATCTCTGATCTATAGTCAGCATTTAATACTTGTTGACGGATTGATGCTCATTGTAGATAAGGGAAGCTGAGGAAGAGACAAACCTACTTGAATCTTCACTTGCAGTTTGGGAGTGGTGATTTTTTTCTTCTACTGTAGAATTATATAAAAGGGGGATGCCCCTGAGGCAATGCCCAGGTTGTGGTGGCACAGTGCTAGGATTGTGGAACAGCTTAAGGCCCTTGCAAAGTTTGTAGGCCTTGAAGAATTTGGGGATGTGAATCATGTTATTGTGTGTTTTGTAAGTATTATTATACTTATCGTGTGAAAAAGGAGAAATAACTAACAGGATCTACTCTGAATAAGCCAGGGTCTAGGCCATCCTTGCTTGGTGGGGTTCTAACTGATGCTATGTTAATAAAACTGCTTTTAAATTGGTCTCCCTGCCCTCCCCATACTCAATTAAGCTGAGAACTAGACACCTGTAGTTGATCCTCTATATGAACTCTCCAGAACTCAAGCTATGGAGATTGGCTAATTTTACACCCTCAAAAACCAAAGACAATGGGTTTTGAAATAGTAATAGCTAGCATTTAAAGAGTACTTTAAGGCTTGCACAACTTATCTCATTTGATCCTTAAAACAACCTTGTAGTGTAGGTGCTATTATTATGCCCATTTAATAAATGGAAAACTGAGGTTGATAGAGGTTAAGTGAATTACCCAGGTCATATGGTTATTGAGTGAAATAGGATTCAAAATCAGGTCTTTTCTCTTTCTAGTCCAACATTCAACTCAGATTACCCATCAGCCTTTTTCTTCAAAGAAAATAGGTATATAGACATATAGTGGGGATTAGAGATTATACTGAGAGGGAACTATTTTTATTTAGATTTTTGACACAGATGTAGGAGTCTAGGGAAGGAATGAACTTTTTCAGGCATGCATTACCAAAAACTTTACATAGGAAGGAGAAAAAACTATTATATTAGTGAATTTTCTATTCGCAAGTCTGCAAAGGTCTGATATGATTTTCTAAAGTTTGAGAAAAATGCAAAGGAAGTTAAGGCTGTTGCTGGAGGCTGGCAAGTATTATTAAAATAAAAATGTCTTTGTTTGGGTCAAATCCTATAAACACTTGGAATTGACTCTAGTATTCATGCAGAACCTTGTGGTGAAAATGGCAGGGAAGGTCCCACATGAAAAGACCTGCCAACTTTACATCCCAAATGACAAAGAACAAGTTTCATAGGCTATATTTTACACATGCAAATGCGCAAAACTTTTTTTTAAATTCTCAAATAGGCCATGATATTTTTCCACCTCTTATGTCTTGGCAATTCCTTGTCAAGCTTGCTTCTTTATTATCCAAAGTAATAGCCCAAGGTTAATATATGTGAAAGTGAACACTGAATCTCTGTTTTGCCTTCAGATGATGCAGGGGCAACCATATTCAGACCAAGAGCCCTACATGGAAATGGAAGTCTATGCCAATGCAGAATAAACCCAATGTGGAACATAACATACAACTGTAATGTCATTGAGAATGATAAATATGAATAATATAAGGAAAGATGGAGACGTCAAATAACACAAAGAAAAATGAGTTCGTTATGAACATATTAAAATGGATACCACTTAGGTAGAGGGAAAGCATGACCTCGTATCCTTTCCATTGCTTCTTTTTCACCATGTATAAATATGCTCAGTGACTAGCTCAGGCCTCAGCACATTATAGGCATTAAATAATGCCTGTTGGATCAAATTGGTTATTCCCATTTTAATGGCCCTACTCTCCAAAGAACTCCGCCCCAGTGGGCTTTACTTCTGACTCCCCAAGCTCTGGTAGGTGAGCTTTTTGCCCTATCTTTTGCCCTATCTTATAGGGGCTCAGGCCTCTATGACACTTAGTAAAGTATCTTCTGCTCATTTTCTAGCTCTTCTCTATGACTAATGTTTCCTCACTAGAATGTAACTCCTTAAGAGCAAGATTTGTCTGTCTTGATTGTTGTGTTTATATTACCAGCATTTAGCACAGTGCCTGGCATGAAGTAAGCACTTTAAAATGCTCTTCTCTACTCATCATTCATCTATCTATCTATCTATCTATCTATCTATCTATCTATCTATCCATCTGTCCATCTATCCATCTGTCAGCCATCTGTCAGTCTGCCTATCTATGTATCTATCATCTTTCCATTCAAAATTCTTTATACTTTTAGTTATAGATTTGTTGAAGTGCCCATGCTTTTTAGAAAGTCATTGTTGGACAATTTGGGTCATGGCTGCAAAAATGCAAGACAGACAAATTTTTTTGCAAAAGCTCAGTGAACCAGGATATTTTCTGCTGCATTAATCTCTTAGGAAAAAGGACAAATGCAGTAAAACACATGAATATTGGAGATTATTTCAAAAACAATTTCCAGACCATGGTCTTCACTCAGTGTATATTCATCCCAACTTCTGGTATCTTCCCATCTAACACCAATACCTCTCAGTTTCAGCCATTCTGGTATTAAGTAGTTTTTACTATATATAATTGTAGGAAAGGAACCACGGCAGATATTGAACATGAAAAATAGAGAGAATTACTATTAATGAAAAAAAATGTTATTCTGATTTTAAATGAAATTCTACTTTAAATGTTAAAACATTCTTAGGACTAACAACTGTTTCAAGGTTTTGCTATATGTTGTATTTGCTATAGACTCACTTTGGTGTATGTTTCATGCAAAGTATAAAAAAGTATTTTTGAATATTTGATATTAATGAACTATATATGATACTAGATAAAACTGAATCCAACCAAAGAATAAAGCTTCTCTGCCTATTGGACCCAGGTTGTTAGATAACTGAGACACAAGAATCTTTATGTACTCTGAGGAAGGATCAACAGCAGTCAGTTATAGTGGGGAAGTATTCTTCGGGAAAGCAAAGAGGGAAATTATACAAATAGTCTATAAGTATGGATTGTGCTCTCGGCAAGGGATACACCATCATCAGGCAACTGCATAGTGAACAAGTGTTGATTAAGTACCATTTTATCCAATTTAGAGCTAATGAACTTAGTTGATGGCATTTTTGCTGAATTAAAGAGACATCAAAGCCTCCTTTCAGATTCTGTGCCAGGTAGGTCAAGGAGCTCTGACAGTGTGGGATATCCTTGGCTGTGATTTGGGTGTAATCAGCTCCCGTACTTACTCTCTGCTCTTGATCAGTTGATTAATAAGCATTCATTCACTGATAAATAATAAATGTTTGATGAATAAATGAATAAGCAAGTATATACTAAAGATCTATTATCTCCTGGGCCTGGGGTAGGAGGGATTCTGGGAGGAAAGACATCCTTTCGTTAGGAGTTTTCTTTTCTTTGTTCCATGTTGCCAGTGATCTTTACTCATTCTAGAAACCTGTTTGAGGACAATTGGGAAACAATGGGAAAACCCAGATTTGGCATATTTAAAATAACAATGAAAACAGGATTTGCTTAGGGGGAAAACCCAGAGTGTACTTGGGGAGTAGCATGTCTGCTTTTGATCTAAATGGATGAGAAGGGACAAGAATGAAAGGATGAAAAATGGGTTCTGACTTTGGGCTCCACTGCTGACTTGATCTGCCATGCCACTAACACTGAGATCTCTTTTGGAACTTTCAGATCACCATTTTGCTGGGGATGAGAAGCTGGAGGAAGTCCATGTCTGTTTGCCATGCAGGGAAGGCTGCTCCTTTTGTGCTGATGACAGACCCTGCTCTGCCCAAGAGGACAAGTATTTACGGCTAGCCATTATCTCCTTCCAAATCCTGTGTATGCTGCTTGATTTCATTAGCATGTTGGTTGTCTACCACTTTCGCAAGGCAAAGGTACTTGGAAATATACTTGGACCAATCCATATGGGGGACTGGGAGTTGGGGAGGCAGAGAAGTAGAGGGGCATACTCTTGATAATTTATATATCTTTTTTGTAGTACTTATTTTATTTTATTTTAATTTTTGAATTAACTAATTTATTTTTAGTTTTCAACATTCACTTCCATAAGTTTTTGAGTTTTAAATTTTCTCTACCTCCCCTTCCTTCCTCCTCCCCAAGATGGTGTGCAATCTGATATAGGCTCTACATATATATTCTTTTTTTTTTAGATCAGTTGATTATTTATTTTTTTATAGAAATTTATTTATTTATAGTTTTCAACATTTACTTCCACAAGATTTTGAGTTACAAATTTTCACCCCATCTCGACCCTCCCCCCACCCCAAGATGGCATGCATTCTGAATACCCCTTCCCCTAGTCTGCCCTCTCTTCTATCTCTCCCCCCTCTTCTCTTATCCCCTTCCCCTTCTATTTTCCTGTAGGGCAGGATAAATTTCTGTACCCCATTTCCTGTATTTCTTATTTCCCAGTTGTATGTGAAAACTTTTTTTTAAACATGTGTTTTTAAAACTTTGGGTTCCAAATTTTCTCCCTTCCTCCCTCCCACCCCCTCATTGAAAAGGCAAGCAACTCAATATAGGTTATACATGTGCAGTTATGCAAAACATTCCATAGTAGACATGTTGTGAAAAACTAACTATTTCCCTTAATCCTATCCTGCCCCCCATTTATTCTATTCTTTCTTTTGACCTGTCCCTCCTCAGAATTATTTGCTTCTGTTACCCCTTTCCCAATCTGCCCTCCTCTCTATCAAACCTCTGCTCTCTTGTCCCCCCCCATTTTCCTGTAGGGTATGACAGATTTCCATACCCAATTGAATGTGTATGTTATTCCCTCCTTAAGCCAAATCCTATGAGAATAAGATTCATTCTTTCCCTCTTCACCTTCCCTGTTTCCCCTCTACTGTAAGAGCCCTTTCTTTTCTGTTTTTTTTTTGTGAGATATTTTACCCTGTTCTACCTCTCCCTTTCTTCTCCTAGTATAATCTTCTCTCATCCCTTAATTTTATTCTCCAGATATGACCCCTTAATCTTCAACTTACCCTGTGCCTTCTATCTATCTATCTATCTATCTATCTATCTATCTATCTATCTATCTATCTATCTATCTATCTATCTATCTATCTATCTATCTACCTATCTATCTATCTATTTATGTATCTACATACAGATAATTTTTCCCCTCCAACTACCCTAATACTGACAAAGGTCTCATGAGTTACAAATATCATCTTTCCATGCAGGAATATGAACAGTTCAAGCTTAATAAGTCTCTTATGATTTCTCTTTCCTGTTTACCTGTTCATGTTCCACTTGAGTCTTGTGTTTGAAAGTCAAATTTTCTATTCAGCTGTGGTCTTTCCATCAAGAATGCTTGAAAGTCCTCTATTTCACTGAATGATCATTTTTCCCCTGAAGGATTATACTCAGTTTTTCTGGGTAGGTGATTCTTGGTTGTAATCCTATGTCCTTTGCCCTCTGGAATATTATATTCCATGCCCTGTGGTCCTTTAAATGTAGAAGCTGCTAAATCTGTGATTATCCTGATTGGGTTTCCACAATACTTGAATTGTTTCTTTCTGGCAGCTTGTAATATTTTCTCCTTGACCTGGGAACTCTGGAATTTGGCTACAATATTCCTAGGAGTTTTCCTTTGGGGATCTCTTTCAGGTGGATTCTTTCAATTTCTATTTTGCCCTCTGGTTCTAAAATATCAGGGCAGTTTTCCTTGATAATTTCTTGAAAGATGATGTCTAGGCTCCTTTTTTGATCATGGCTTTCAGATAGTCCAATAATTTTTAAATTCTCTCTCCTGGATTATTTTCCAGGTCAGTTGTTTTTCCAATGGGATATTTCACATTGTTTTCTAATTTTTTATTCTTTTGGATTTGTTTTATAGTGTCTTGATTTCTCATAAAGTCACTAGCTTCCAATTGCTCTATTCTAAATTTTAAGGAAGTAATTTTCTTCAGTAATCTTTTGGACTTCCTTTTCTATTTGGCCAATTTTTCTTTTCAGGGCATTCTTCTCCTCATTGGCTTTTTGGACTCTTTTGCCATTTGGGTTAGGCTATTTTTTAAGGTATTCTTTTCTTCAGTATTTTTTGGGTCTCCTTTAGCAAGCTGTTGACTTGTTTTTCATAATTTTCTCGCATCACTCTCATTTCTCTTCCCAGTTTTTCTTCTACTTCTCTTACTTGCTTCTCAAAATCCCTTTTGAGCTCTTCCATGGCCTGGGACTGATTCATGTTTTTTGGAGGCTTTGGATGTAGGAGCTTTGACTTTATTGTCTTCCTCTGGTTGTTTGTTTTGATCTTCTTTGTCACCAAAGTAAGATAATATAGTCTGACTCTTTTTGTGCTGCTTGCTCATGATCCCAGCCAGTTACTTGAGTTTTAAACTCTTTGTTAAGGTAAGAGTCTGCTTCCAATGTAGAGAATGTACTGCCCCAAGCTTTGGGGGTTTATACAGCTGTTTTCAGAGATACTTGTAGGGACCTGCAAATTTTTAGTTCTTGCAAGGTGGTATGATAAGGGGCGAGGTGTTTACTCCTTTCCTGGCCTGTGCTCTGGTCTGTTAGTGACCACAAGCACTCCTTTCTGTCCTGGAACTGTGAAGAAGGTTTTCTCTGCACTTCCACTACAAGCTCCACCACTCCAGCACTCCTCCTGGCCCCTGGACCACAGCCCAGAACTGTGACTCAGATCCAAGCATGGACAAAGCAAGAGATTCCTGCCTCAACACTGGCAAATAGATCCCTGCAATCCCCCTCTCATCAGCCGCAGGATTCCCCCTCAGTCTGTGGGCCAGACTGGATGCAGCCACCACCCTAGCACCCGTGCTCTGCGCTCTGGAGTTGGCTCTGACCTAGCTCCTTTCTCAGCACCGCAGAAACAGAGTTTTCCCACTGACCTTCTAAGTTGTCTTTGGTGTTTGTGGGTTGAGAGGTCTGGAAGCCACCACAGCTGCCAGAGATTCAGTCCTCTGAGGCCTGCACCAGGTTCATTTCATCCTGCGCGCCTTTGCCACACTGCGCTCCTCTGTCCTCCCAGCACAATATGCCTTTCTGATCAACCATCCAGGTTGTCTTGGGCTGAAAATTTGCTTCACTCTGTCTTTTTGTGGGTTCTGTTGCTTTAGAATTTGTTTAGAGCCATTTTTATAGGTATTTGGAGGGGTTTGGGGGAGAGCTCGAGCAAGTCACTGCTTTCACTCTGCCATCTTGGCTCTGCCCACATATATAATCTTAATAAACATATTTTCACATTAGTCACATTGTAAAGAAGAATTAGAATGACTGGCAGGAACAATGAGAAACAAGAAACAAGAGAGAGAAGAGAGAGAGAGAGAGAGAGAGAGAGAGAGAGAGAGAGAGAGCGAGCAAATAGTATGCTCTGATCAATATTCAGACTCTATAGTTCTTTCTCTGGATGTGGATAGCACTTTCCATAATGAGTCTTCTGGAGTTGTCTTAGATCCTTGCATTACTGAGAAGAGCTAAGTCTATCAAAGTCAGTTGTCACACAATGTGGCTTACTGTGTATAATGTTCTCCTGTTTCTGCTCACTTCACAGCATCAGTTCATATAAGTCCTTCCAGGTTTTTCTGAAATCCACCTGCTCATCATTTCATGTAGAACAACAGTCTCCCATTATATCTTTTGCATTCAAGTATTTTACAGCAAAGCACATGGACTCTTTCCCCTTTCTTTTTGTTAAGTTGTTCTCAGTGCTGTCTGACTCTTCATGGCCCCATTTGGGATTTTCTTGGCAGAGATACTGGAGTTTACCATTTCCTTCTCCAGCTCATTTTACAGATGAGGAAACTGAGGCAAACAGGGTGAAGTGACTTGCCCAGGGTCACTCAGCTAGTAAGTATCTGAGGCCAGATTTGAGCTCAGGAAGATGAGTCTTCCTGACTCTAGGCCTGGCACTCTAACACTGTACCACCCAACTGCTCCTTCCCCTTTCTCATAATACCACATTTATGCAATTAAATTTCAGCATACTTCCTTTTACTTACCAGCAGGAATATGATTAATGCAATAAAACTCCATTAAGTCCTTAACATCTTATTCTCTTAAGCATTTCCCCTTATTTAACCTAAAATTGAATTACCTCAGAGTCAGAGACTTCTCTCTGTTTTGGACCTGAGTTCAAATTTGGCTTCAGTCACTTACTAGCTATGTGATCTTAGGCAAAGTCACTTAACCTCTGCTTCGCTCAGTTTCTTCAACTATAAAATGGGGGTAATGGCACCTGCCTTGCAGGGTTGTTGTGAGACTCAAATTAGATAATAATTGTACAGTGCTTAGCACGTCACCTGGCACATAGTAGGTCTATTGAAAATGTTCATTCCCTCCTCCTTCCCTCTGAAAATAGCATTATTTCTAGAGAAATATGTCTGAATATCTCTCTCTATATATGTGTGTGTGTGTGTGTATAATATTTAGAGAAGTGAAGGGAAAAATATTTGTTATTAATATTTATGGATTGATTATTGATCATTAAGTACTTATTACATGCCAGATACTATCCTAAGCACATTACAAATATTTCATTTGATCCTCACAATTCTGTGTACATGTATACATATACATACGTATATGTATACATGTATGTATGTGTATGTATATATACGTGTGTGTGTGTGTGTGTATTCAATGCATGTTCAGTGAAACAAAGCCATCATGGATTATTCCACCCAAGTCAGTTGCTCACATTTTCACCTGTGAAAAACGTTTGTTGTGTTTGTCATTCTTTCTTTAGGAGCTCACTCAGCCATCATTAAAGATGGCACCTGGATAATTATATACTTTGAGCATCTGTATTTTTGGAAAATGTGTTTGGATAATTTGGGGAGATCTTACTCTAGTGTATTAGATAATAGTAATCCCGGGTAGTACTCTCATTAACTTTTCAGGAATTTAACCA